GAAAGTGGGAAACCTGGAGAAATTCGGTCCTTACAAGCTAATCTAAAATCGATGTTAGTCAAAGCCGTTAATTCCGAAGACCATAAACGGCCCAAGAGCTACGAAACGCCTCGGTGACCCTAGTCACATAACCCGGCATTTATTACGAAAGATTTTGGAAATCCATCGAGCGCTAAGGGGCATCGTACTACCACCATGGACTAACACAGTGGTTAGCCCGGACCGTACGAGAGGCATCCATTAACTAAGCTCGTAATCCCTTCAGTTAAGTTAGCACATGGTGCGACGGACCATCGTCCATCGTCCACACACCAACACGAAACCTGTCCTGTTCTACAACCAATCTTATCCTCTCTTTCTTCTTCGTCTCGTTGCAGATCTCCGCAATACACTCATCGCCAATGATTCCCTTGTCTCATACTTCATGAATTTTGAACCTTGTGAACTGCACTCTATTTATCTAAATTAGCAACTCCGATCATGAAATAATGAAATAAAAAATGCGCTTTGACCACTACTTTTCTAGAAAGTGAATCTTGCAGAAATTTAACCTCGCGAGCATCAGCTGCTCATTCCTTGTACATTTGATAAGAACAAGAATCCTAGATAAAAAAATTAAATAACACGTTCAAAACTTCTACAGATCAGCAAAATAAATGAGATCTGTTAGGCGATTCAAGATTAAGAAACTGAAATACTGAAGGATTATTTTTTTCTGTGTAATACAAGAATGTAATAATCGATTTAATCGTGAGTAGTGTTCGTTATATAAGTTTCCATCGTATATCTTATTGTAATTAATATTTCATTGGATACCAGAAACGCGATGCCAGAACAAGGCTTAACGATTGCCCGTACTCTGACATAGTGCAGTGTCACATTCTCGCAGCGAGTAATTCAACGATAGGGTAAGATGAGCCGGTTTGCTATCAGATAAGAATTTATTTGCGGAAATGCACCCGACATGTGTGCGCGCGCGATTCGAAACAAAATCGGAAACCGGCTGTGAAAACGGAGAAATATTTCGACAGTTCATACGTTCCGGTTAATACGTCATTAACAATTCAGGAATGTTCACCACTTCCCACTACGAACGGCATTAAAACCTTTGACACCGCTTGCCAGTTACCCGCCGCTTGAATTAATTATCATGCAATTTATTAAGAGGATTTTTGCGATATGTTGAAGTCACCCAACGTCCTGATTAATTTTGCACTATTAATTAAAAAATAATTGCCGCGGATTATATAGAGGCTCATTATTACGCCACTTTAGATCAATAAAGAGCTGCGCTCAACGCCCATCATATCCCGGTGACAAGAATTTGCATAACATTTTGAAATTAATCAACTTTCCTGCTAATTTTGGCTGCCAGATCATAAACTGACATCCGCTTTTTGTCGCTGACAGTATTATCTAATATCGATAATGACCACTTCATTATTTACGAATATTTTATTACATTGATAAAATAATTTGTTATCTTGTCAACTATCGCAACCTATGCTACTACAGTCACCAAGTTACTATAGCACGAAAGTTACATTATCCTTTCAAAGAAACAATAATAATAGAAAAATAAAGTATTCTTTTGCAGAAGTATTTAAATTAAATTACTCCGAGATTTAGCCATAATTATAATTTTTTTAATATAATATAGTACATAATGTACAATAAGAAATAACAATAGCTCACAGAACATAATCTATCCACTCAAATTATACACGTTTTTTCTGGCATAGCTATTTCTTTGCGTAGCTGTCTTATTCCTGAAACCTATTTTTCACGACCGACCAAAAGTGTACGTCTGCTTATGACTTTTTGGTTTTAACATTTCCGTGTTTAGCGACGAAATCCAATTGCGTCGTAAAAGCATTTAACCGGCGACCGCGCGGCATTACGTACAATTTTCTTCACATTATTCCATAATTGACCGGTTGATGTCAGTGCGTCCCATCTCTTTCCGCCGTGTATCGATCTCAAAATTATAGGGCGATTATACGGTGCACCCATATTGCTAGTACGATTTATTACCGTGCTTCGTTTGTTGGTTTTGACAGTGGAACCAAATTGCTGAGTATGAGACGACGGACATCGTCTCAACTCAATAAATAATGCATGATAATCACGCTCACATTTGTATATTTCTCTGGTCGAATATTCGTCATTTAAGCTTTTGACAACAAATAACTAACGACACAATAAATAATGACCGAAAAAGTTTATGATATAAAATATATGAGAACACACACACACACCACTAGTATATTGAAGTAATATATTAAAAATTTTAATGACTTTCTTTTATTTTTGCCTGTTACTTATAAAGACAGACATTCCAATTGACTTAATTATTTAAAGCACAAATAAAAGTTGACATATCGTGCACTTTATGTTACACATATAACTCATATCATAATATATTCATTGCTAAAAATCACGCGTTTATGTGACGTATCACTAATTTCGAAGATAAAAAAAGCAATAAAAATATATTTTAGAAGGACAGGTATCTTTTATATATAAACTTAATAAAACATATGATATATGCTACAGTATTATATTAACTAATTTCAATATAAAAAATAATAGATGAAACGTGACCCTTTTTCTTTCTTTCGCGTTTGTATAATTCAAGAATTCAGAATCATAAGTGGAAGTCTGAAAATAATGTCATTTGGAAACCTTGTCATCACAATAATAATAATGTGATTCATGCTATTTGCACTATTGATCGAAATATATGTCTCAAAGAAAATGAGACATCATTTCTATTTCTTCAAGTAGAATACACAAAACGAAGAAAAGTACACAATGAAAGTGAGGATATACGTCATATATGTAGACTTATCCAACTCCTAATTATTAAAATATTTATCTTAAAAGTCGAAATATGCCAATTTCTTTCAGTACTATTCCATTTACAAATAGATTCTAAAAAAGAGTCGTATAATAAAAGAATTCCATTTTATATTTATTCATTCACATTTTTGATTACATTGTACTTGCATATTCACACTTGCATGTCCACTGCGTCGCAATATCATAGAAGTAAAATCTAATTAATTGAGCAAGAATATTCGCGCAAAGCTTGTCTGAGAATGGATCGTCAATGTAACGGGCTGCGATTGAGCGCGCAGTGTTGAAAGCTGGCGAAAATAAAGCGTATAGTAAACACGATCGCAAACAAAGCATTGCAATTGCAGTATCGTTCTCGCATATATCTACATCCATTTTAATCGGCGTGTCGCAACGCAAAATTAACGCAGGGCGCGTTTGGGATATTGCAAGGTTGTTCCAGCGTCTCGCATGGATACGGCGAATGTTCATGGACGGCAATCGGCAGATGAAACTGCGCAATCCGCTATACTCCTGTCGATATATTCTTCTTTCGTAACGACCGGGAATCAAGCGAATAACATACCCGATATCGGTGCCGACGACCCAGAAAAAAGATAAATAAAATGCAAAATCAAGTCAAATAAACCGAAGTATCTAGGTCTACCATTAGAAATTCATTAAAAATTGCAATGCATTGTGAATAAAAATGTATTAAAAAAGATTGACATGTCCCAAATTTTAAAATAAAAACTTCTCATTAAAAATTGACAAGTCGTGCAAAATAAGACGAAATAATAATATCAGCGCAAATACCGTAAAAATTTTTAAACAAACGATAAGAATCGTAACGCAATGAAGTTAATCGTAATCGTGACGTAATCATAATTATGATGTTCTCGTAGCAACATCAGCAAATCTATCCGCGGTTCATAGGTAACCGATGTTTGCTGCCATCAACCATGCCTAACGTTGAATTCATCGTTGATAGACGATTATCGTCATCACGGTGCGTCGATCGACAATCGCAACGAACGAACCCTGGCATTAGTGGACCATTCAAGCGCGACGCATATTTGGAATCAATCGATTATACGATATTTTTCTAAAACACATTTAAAATGGAATAAAACTATTATGTACGAAAATTGATGACACAAATATATTTTCACAATTTTACAGTAAAACATTTTGCAAAATCTTTGTGACGTTTAGACATAAATCGATATAATTGGCTTGAATCAATAATAATAATATTTAATATTAACTAATATTGCAGTATTAAAACATTGCATATTTCAAATAATTTTAAAATAAATGTGAATGAATAAAATAACATTTATTACATTACAGTTTTTTTTTTATATTTTATAGAAAATATCGGCATAAATTGAAATGAAACAATTTATTTAATACATAAATAAATAATAGAACATAAAGTATAATATATATATATAGAATCGTGCGTAAATTAAATATTATATTTTAAAATATATAAAACTTGAATAAATTTGTGCATTTTAATAATAAAAATATACGAATATTATTACGTATAATTTCTAATCAATACGCAAGTAATTCGTTATCTATAATATCTAATATTTAAAAAAATTATTTTGCAAATAAGTTCACAGTTATTTAAAAAATGCTAACAATAAAATAATTGCAACGGGTGAAATAAAATTTCAACAAAGAATACAGATACGTACGTTCAACGTTATTTGATACGGGAGAAAGAGTTTCGATTTCAAGATATAAAAGTAGCGAAAGGAAGCTATAGATATATCGGAGCGCCCCAGCTAGTAGCTATTGTGCGTGCCTGGTCAGCCATACAAGCGGCCGAATCGTGGATATTAACCCTTTCTGCTCGGACGCGGCCGGCAGTCGCTCGGCAAAATTTATCCTGGCGCTTACTACTCGGAGTAGTCACTGGCCGGCTAAGCGATATAAGCATCAGTCCGCTCGCTTGGTGCGATACGCGTATAGGCTGACTGTTCCTCTCGTCGCGCTCCGTCCCGCAATTCACCTGCTTGCCCTCACGCCAACCTTCCGTCCCTACTACGTTCCATGGTGCTTCCCCCTCTTTTCCCGCCCGTAGTCCTGCTCCCTCCACCGAATCGATGCTACTCGCGGATCGCGAGTTCAGTCTGCGACTGGCAACCGCGTGTGTAACATCGTTTCTTCCTTTTCCATCTCTTCCGTCTCTTGCTCGTCGCATGTCACAACGCGCGAGAATAAAGTAACGCCGAGAAATAAAAAACGAGTGGACATTTTTTTTCCAATCAACGAACGAGATTTATCTTTGCGGTAAAATTCCCGGTGTACCGATTAGAACGGTTTGGAGAAGAGAGAGAGAGAGAGAGAGAAAAAAAAGGTGAGATAAGGTGAGATAAGATGAGAGCCGATATCGTGCCGATGATGATCTTCCGTTACCGGATGCATCGCCCTTACACGTTCCCGGAGAGATCTTGAGGCGATCGGATGTGCAACGACGCACCATCGCGGGGAATAACAACGCGGGACGGACTCTGCTCCTACACCGACAGAATTGCTGATTTGGTGAGTAAAAGTTTAAAAAGCCACACAGAGGTGGTACGTAACGTATTTGAAACTTGAATAAAAAAAAAAAGAAATTACGTTTCGCACGACAGTGTAAAAGAAAAGTAAATAAAACCGATCGAGGACGTACTAGACGAGACGTACGAGTATTTTACATCGTTAATGTATCAGTTTTAATAAAATTATATTTTAACGTAATTATATTTTATATTTTGTAGCACAAACGTTAAATTATTGATGGGTTTTATTTATACGATGCGATATATAATATTCACAGAGCCGTGGATTATTATCATATGCCAGATATTCTCACTTTAAATAAAATTAATTACAAATTAAATATTAAGAAACTTGCAGAAAACATATATAGACGAATATACTATATCTGCCATCTTGTAGATTAATAATAATTAAGAAATGATTATAAGAAACCATCGCCATACGCACGCAACGGAGTTCGCAGCAAGTAGACGAAATGTGCGATTGGTCAGCCCAGTCGGCTTTACTGTGGACATTTCAGTGACAGTTTCCATTAGGACGAACCGTAATACCCCGACAAGTCCACCCGTGGTGGTTTCTCCCGCACGTTCTACCGCAAGAAATTTCATTCCTCCGTCACCCTCCCCCGTACCTCGACATTCTCACCCTTGCCCGTGATCTCTCCGCGCCGCGACACGGTCCACGAATACGGCCATACGAGTATACGGACATACGCGACCCGCCGGAACTTTGTTAATTAATTGCTTCGGAAATATAATCCACGTCGAGTGTAACTAATCAGCGAGAAACTCGGTCGGACGTTGACGGACATGTTTGCTGCACCTATCACGTAGCGGGATGGAAATGTAATTTGCCAGAATAGAGTTAGCCCCGTTGAATGCCGCGGCCAACCTTCAGCCGTCCGTCCGTTCCTCCCCCTCGGTGCCAGCTTCGCACCGAGCCAGCGTGCCGCTCATTGATCGCTATTCTGGATTTCGCATGTAAGGATCCAACGGAGCAATCGGTTGTGGAAGTACGGCTCTGTTGCACGCGCTCACCCATCCGTTAGGTTTCGACGAGAATGCACATATATCGACTAGCAAAGTTACGATGCGGATACATGTCGTAGTATTTCGTGCTGCGCATATCGACCTAGTGACATGCGCTTCGAAAATTAATGCTTTCTTTCCGAAACATTACCTAAGGATATCTTACATTCAATGGTTGATTTTTTTCTGCGTTCCTCGATTAATTCGGAATTGATTTTTTCTTAGCAAAAATGTGGAAGCGCACCGTACACTTTCAACTTTTTCAACGCCTGAAAAATTTTGATAATCTTAAAATTATAAGTTATTTCAAAGTTACTTCCCAAGCTTTTACTTTCAATTGCTTCTAACTTAAAACTCAATCCTCGATATTTTAAAAAATTGACTCCAAATTGATTATCGAATACTTAGATAAAAGATAAAACATTTCATAGAGGAAAGAATTTTGTATCTCGTCTTATTACTTTATATATCGAAAACTTAGTTCAAGAGGGCACTTATTAAAAACATAATTCAATTTGACATCTTTTTTAAAGAATTTTTCATAAAAATTTCAAAATTTTTAATTAAAATTTATTTATGATTTGAAAATTTGATGAGAGATATATATAAACAGATGACTGAACAGATAAACAGAATTGTCAATTGTTGCAGAGCTATTACAATTAACATAAATGTATACAACCGCGGCGCATGCATCAATACTTATTTAAGATTCAACACACGCGCATTAATTGGGCATATAATTATATCTGATAAAGATTTTCTATTCCCACTGGGATATTTTTGCATTTTGACTGACACTAATTCGTAGCAAGTTTTCATCAACCGCGATAACAAGCGACGTTGTTAACGCTACGAAATGTAAATTTGGGTCGTCAGAATACAGGAGAGCCTTTCGTCGACCTTGATATGCCACGATTTGTCAAGGAAAATAAAAAAAGTTTCGACGAATGAATGTAAGTGGAAAATAACTAGTGCCAGCGATAGAAAGTAATCGGACATGCGTATAGAATAAGCGAGGAGTATACGGAGTTTCGAGGATTACATGAAAACGGTTTCAGTGTTGGATACGTCGACGAATTCGCCGGATGGTTAAGCCAGCAGTTACGATTAAAAGCCGCGGGCTTCCATCGCGTATGATCCATTTGCATATATGGAGTCTCCTCACATAAATTGTTTAAAACATTTACCCATATGTCGCAAAGGAAAGAGAATAAATGGAGATTGCGAAACTATAATTGCAAATTTATTCTGCACTTATCTAACGGGAGATAAAAGTATTCAATCTGCAAATTGGCACACAAATGCACGCACATATTCGTTTGAGTGTATGTAAATGAGGAGCGCGATCAAGACGTCGCGCTAACGTCGCGGAGAATAAAAGACACTTCCGAAACAGGTAGACTTGAACACGATATTAGATTGCGACATTTGTACATTCGTGACTGTACATATGTCTAGCCTTAGTATGCGGTATGCAGTCTATGGCTGTGCGGTACAGCAATACAAATAGGGGTTGCTCCCGGGCGCGACGCCTGTACGGCGTAGCTTCACGCATCGCTTACTCATTGCTGAACATCCAGTCGTAGTTGGTGCCGCTCCTGGGACACGCGAAATTTACTTTAGCCGCGAGCACGACTTTAAAGCGGTGTTGCGAGGACACCGCCTACCGCGGCAAATAACGTTTGAATTCGTGTCGCGGAGTCAGCAAGGTGCCTGCGTACTTGCATGGGGCGCGCATACATACGAGCGTAGGGGTAGACGACATCGATGGCGTTTAAATGCCAATGTCACGCCACGGAATGTACAAAGTTCCAAGCCCGTTTCGAATGTGATATATTGTCATGTATAGTCGCGAATTGGATGGCGGTCTATTTAGCGAGTCAGGAAACAATTCCATTGAAAGGGTAACCTGTGACGATATTAACGAAGTGCATATCAGAATTTTTTTTATTTGCAGAACAGTAACGATGTTACGTTATACAGTTTGGTAATCGATTGTTTCTATTATTTTCTTTTTCGGATGCGCACAGATACATCGGACTTCGTCATATAGTAACGCAACTGATTGTGCAGTTTTTTCACAGAGTTTTGAACTGAATTCATTGTAATGTGTGACTGCCAGAGTGCGTTACACGGAGATACAACGATAGCATAATGCCCCGCACAATGGAATTGCTTTAAAAAAAACTGGGTCGTGCTACACGTTTATTCATATTTTCCTGCATAAATATCTCTCGCATCGTCTCGCATATGAGAAAGCATGCGAAATTTGTTTTTATACGAGAAACATTTCTTCTCTTGCTCGCGGATATGCATAGATATTATTTTATCTGTGAAAAAAAAATGCAATTCAGCAATTATATGGTATAACATGCGTTTTATACATTATATATTTTATCGATGTAATCGTGCATTGCCGATTATTTGAATGTGGCGCACGTTAATTGGAAAATTAAAAGGTGTAACACTCGACGAAAATAGTCGAGGAATACGTTAATTGCCTTTTTATTATTTACGCGATTTCATTTGATCTTTACTTTTTTGTTTTAATCTACTCGCAAATATGAAACATTCGTGAACAAGCTCGAGTAACATCAGGGATCGCTGTGTTCTTAATTCTCCGCCATTGACGTTAAAAAGCGGTCGAGCAATTTCAATTATTTAAATACATCGGTTATGAATCGCTACATGATCGTTTATCGCCGGCGTGTCATTTAATCACTTCCACAAAGTGTTGCGCGCGTGCACCAAGTAAATTTGTGCACGTGCCAGTACGGTTTTTGGGCGAAATATAACGCGCCATCTGTTGCGTCTATCGATTTACAATGCCCGGCGATCATTATTGACGGGGCACGTAGAAATTTATAGCCCCGTCAATAAAATTCAACATTGGCAAAGACGCGGCGGACGGAGTATTGCGCGCGGGCCGCAACCGATGCAACCAGACGAAACCCGTGCGCGAGTTTGTGGCATGTATCAATTGCACGTCATTTTATTCGCATTAATTGCCGTTCACCTTTTATCTTCGCCAAAACAACAGTCAACAAAGAAACTATAGTTCCGTAAATTCAGCATTGGCAAAGATGTGGCGGACGGAGTATTGCGCGCGGGCCGCAACCGACGCAACCAGGCGAAACCCGTGCGCGAATTTGTGGCATGTATCAATTGGACGTCATTTTATTCGCATTAATTGCCGTGCACCTTTTATTTCCGCCAAAACAACAGTCAACAAGAAACGTCCGCAAAGGCTCACGATTGTGTAAATAACTGCGTGAATAAATACAGCGCGATCGTGACTAGTGCACTCTGCCGCTCTGACAAACACGATCTCTAACTACTGCGATAACCAACACAGTTCAATTTATGTGAGCGTAAATAGTCAGGTATTGTGCTTGTCAATATAATATACGCGAGGATACTTCATTTTATCCCTAATTATTAAATTATTCGCCTCTTAATATATTGACGGCACGATAATTATTATTTTCATTATACAGACGTTTATAGTGCATATTACAGACAGATTATTGTTATTAATAGCGATACGCCAGCAGCTGTGTTGTTGAATTAATAGATTAAATCAAACGTTTGAATTATTAATAAATGGGATAAATGAAAGAACGCATTATTCCAAATATCACATTGTTCCGCAAAATTATCTTCGATCATGCTCAAATGGATTTGTTAAACAGCTATACGCAAGACGCAAATTTTAATTTCATTCCGTGGAGAGTATAATCGTTTGAGTCATTACATCCATTACAACACACGATTTTATCTATAAATATAGATCATTGAAACTATATATAAAAGCTAAATACAATGCCCATTATGCCTAATACCTGAGTGAATACATTGTGCTTCTCATGCGAATTAAGATGATTAAATTTTAAGTAGCTTGACGTCCCTAATGCGAATGACTAATTGGAATTGTTTTGCCCCCGTAGTTAATAACCATGTCGATTCTCG